TGTTCAGCTGAAGTAGCATATAAAACCATTTTAGTGGCTAAAATATATGAGAGTCAAAAATTGTCTTTTTTTTCGTTCCTCTGCAACACATCAAAATGACCACTGATGCTAAAATAGTTGGGGGTTGGTTGGTTGTTATTTCATCTTTCAACATCCACCATTTCAGGTGCTCACTTTAATTTCATTGTTTTCAGATTGTAATGGTTCTACCTCAGTAAAGCCTCATCATGGCTCTCTGTGACAATTAAAAATAGAGAGGTAAGGACCTGATTCACTATGATGACAGAAGTATACTGTTTTAATTAGAGAAACAATTTTTAGAACTGCTTTAAGCATTATGATGTAGTTAGATTTTGTACAGGAATTCCAAAAACAATGTGATGCATAGACTACACTTTTGAAGTTTTACATATTTTCTGGAAGTAACAGCTGTGCATACTAAAATCCATTTTGTAAGTACTACTGACCACTGCTTTAAAGAATCACGGCAATTATCTGCCTATGCAAATTCAAAATCCAAAGCATGACAATTCAGTAAGAGAGCTACCAGCCTCTGTATTCCAAGGAAAAGGTATTTTAATGTCCATAGGAAGGCAAATAAAATTAGTAGGGAAGAGATGACTACGAAAAGAATTTAACTGGTACTCACAGAGGTTTTTCTATTTAAGGCTTCTTTACTAAATATTTTGGTGTTCAAAGCCAATTAATCTGGACCATAGACCCTGTAATACACTGATATGTGGTTTTGCACACCTACTGATTTCTGGCCATCTGATAGTCCGAGTCAAAAAATCTTGGATATCTCGGACAGTCGGTCCACATACCAATTCTAAATTACACAGACAGCACTGCAGAATTACCTCTGTATGTACACTAAAATACAAAGCAAGATAGCTCAAACTTCAATATTTAAACTAGTCAATGAAAGCAGATCTGACTAAACATACTACTCTCACAGGACACCTAGCTAGATCCCAAGGAAGCAATCTCAAAAAAAATATACATGTATTCTAATTTATGGGGGGGGGTTTGGGTTTGTTTTGTTTTGTTTTTTTAGAAAACAACATTGTCATGCAGACTCCTCACTTAGATATAAGGAAATTATCAAACTTTAATACCTGATAAAACCAATTTTTCCTTTAGGCCAATTTGCATATCACAACTGAATTTAATTTGCAGCTAGTGAAATACTATGAAGTAGCAATTCTTCTCTCAAATCTTACCTGTGCCCAACTCCAGTGCTAGATACCTCAAAGACTTTATAGATTTGCTACCAATCTTTTTATGCAATAGTTCATAATCTTAATTCTGGAGTGAGACGAAGCATGATAAATTGCAATGTAGGGTGGAAATGTCTGAATTGCTTAGCACTGATTTTTGAAAGCAAAGAATCACTTTTGATACCCATTGGTCCAGAATTTATTTTTTCAAAACAAGTTCTGGAAAGGAGAGAGGAAGACAAAGACCAAGAAGAAACAAAAATGTGAATTACATGTATACACTCACTCTTTCGATTCACGGGTCTTCTTAGTTACATGTTGGACAAGCGTGTCATAGCCAGATACTTCACCCTGATTTTGAGCAGAAGTACATTTTTCTGTTTCTTCTTCAATCACAGATCCCACAGTATTATTTATATATTGCCTAAGGTATTTCACAAACTCATAGCTGCAACAAATATACAGAATTAAAATGTAAGAGATTTCCTTGAGCTCACCATCAAACATTTTCAACATTATATTAACATTCCCTATCTTCTCTCCCAGCAGACCTGTTACTTTAAGGTAAGGGTTTATGACTTGCAGAGAAACAAAATTCAAGAGTGTAAAAAAAACCACAATAAAGTTCGATTTTCTTCAATATGGTCATTATCAGTGTATTCCTAGAAGAAACAATACCAAATAGTTTCTAATTACCTTTTGTACTTCTTCTAAATGTAAAAATCTACTCAGACAATAGGTTAAGGTTTTGTACAGAAAAATCATAGAATATCAAGAAAGCTCAAATTTAAAATTCCAAAAGAAACACTATTTGGAGCATCCTGAATATAGCTCTGTCTTACAGTATATCCACCTAGTATTAATATTTATGCAGTATACATACAAAATGAGAAGAAACACAGAAAACACAATTCATAAATTCTAGCATATGAGCACATCTAAGGCTTATGAAAGTCTGTGCATCATGACAGTATGCAGATGATCTCAGCCAAACTGACAAACTAGCTGTCTGTGATTACATGTACATGTTAAATGTAAGGAAATTGGCACTTTGCACTCTTATTATTAGATACAGAAATTTGTTCAAACAATAATATGAATAATCAGAGAGGGATTTTCAAATGGAAGACTCTTGCTGGGTCCTCAGACTCTATTAGCTAGAGAAATTGTTAAAAAGTAGTGGTCAGCATATATAAATGGGGTTTTTTTTGGTTAGTCTTCCGATTTGTATAAAGGACAAGGCAAACAGAAACACACAAAACAGTTACCACACATAAACAGTAGATGCATCATTATATCAAATGCAGATGTGCAAGTACTTTGTGTTGATTTGGATAAATACAGAGTGAGAAAAATTCAAATAAAAAAGTCAGTTCACCATGTAGGTACAGAGTCCAAAGCTATAAAATGCAAATGTAAATAAAAGCAACTGTTACAACAGGCAGCTGCTTTTGCCTTTCTTGGATATTTAAAAAAAAAAAAAAAAATCAGACTACATTCAAGATACATTAAAAAATATAAGCACAGAAAATTGTGTCTTGTGTCACAATACATACTTCCTCACTGGACTGCCTACCTCAAGTTCCATCAGTTAGAACAGTTCTGGTTTTTTTTATTTCCCACTTATTTCCATTCCTACATCACTTTTGTTCTCAATGAAAGTAACAGAAATACATCTCAAAAAAGATGCAAACATGTTTATTTGCATTTTCATTTGTCTTCAAGGCTGGCTTTTTACTTCTGCAATAATGAAATTGCACACGACTCTCCACTGAATGAAAGCTTTCATAAAACTTCTCCCATTTGTTTTATGACAGTAACATTTCCAGGGTATACATTTTTGCAGTGACTGCTTTGCCCTGAAATACACAGCAATCACATCATTATTCATGCCACTAAGTTTACATCTGCTTGATGTCCTAGCCTTGATCTTCTGCATCATTCTTCCACCTTAAAAATGTTTTGCAACAAATAAGTGTTTCAGCAATGATAGAACTACTTCTTCACATGCAGAATCAAGTCAGACTGATCTGGTTGGGCTTACAAAGGAAGCACCGAGGGGGAGCGGGGGAAGTGTTAAAAAACTCTAGGACTTTAAGGAAAAATACAACAGAAAACATGCTACATATATAGTTAAAAATCCTGATTTCTACTACTGGACATAAATTTTGAACATGATTCAATTTTCCTTTTTATTAGCCTTCTGAGGATTCTGTGTTTCTGTCTTTTCTACATCAAAGTGGTACAAAGGATAAAGTAAGGCCTCAAAATCTGATAAAATTACTGAGGCAAAATAACCATGAGGCAGAAGCAGTGCTGATCAAAACGCTGAGCTGAACTAGCGTATTGGAAAATGCAAAAGCACACACTACTAATAAAGGAGCTTGCAGTCTGGATGGGTGGGGTAAGGATCAAGGAGAAAGCTTCTTAATGGTCTTGCTAATAAATTGCCATATGACCTCTCTGACCTTCCATGAAAACCAACCTATACTGCCATGGGTCATGAACAAGACTAGAATACCTCCAGAAATATTTCAGCACCACAGAGTAATGCTCACATTCTGCATTTAAAGCACCACTTGATTTTCCATTAAATGCAAGTTAAAACTTTTCTCATGGAAAGAAAGTTATCTTTAGGATCACCAATTTTTTAACATTCCAGAAAGAGTAATGGATACCATGGTTTCACTGTTCTAAAGGGGAAAGCTATGTATGACTTGTTTCCACCAGCTGTAGACTTTACTCCCTCATCCTGGGTATTCGCCTAATAAGTCCTCAGAAGAAATATTGACAGAAGCAATTTCATAGGTTTCTGGTTGTTTGGGTTTTTTTTTTTTTACTATATATCTCTTCCTTTAAATAAAAATGTTTTTCTTTCAAAATTACATGTAATTTTCAACTTTGATATGTTCATAACCAACTTTTTTAGTCTCATGCTTGTCACCCGGTAACCTGGTGCTCAAAATTTGCAAGACTGCCAACAAAAGTGTTACCTGATACAACTTGTAATACAAATTAAAATTGCGCTAAAATACATTTTAAAGCATTTAGCATCTTCAGAAGATACAAAAGCATGAAGGTTTTAAAATTATAGTGAAACTTTAGATAAACTGCCACTGACAAAGCAATGCTAAAAACTAGACAGATTTAAGAGAATGTAGATAGCGCCACTTCTGAAAAAACTGGCAGGGAACCAGCTTTCTCAGAAAAAGTCAGGTCACAGAATGCTGGTACTTGTTAAAACGTCTTCAAGGTTATTTCAGCTTGATATTCTCTTGACTTCTCATAAATGAACACTAAAAATCTCCCATGTAGTAAAAAATAAACAAGTTAGAATACCATAGAAAGGAAAGAGGAGTGTGGGCTCCAGAAATCTAGATCGTATGTAAGTGAGGTTACACTGTCAAGTCTCATTTAACAGAAGCGTGATGGCAATACATTTCTGCTTTATTCAAAAAACAAATTAAAAGAATGACTACCTGATAAGATATATAAGGGTTCAGTAATAAGGGTTCAGTAATATAAGCCAGACAGAACAATCAAATATGGAAGCCAATTAGCCTTCTGAAAATTTACCTTATTTTGAAAAACATTACATTGCCTAGCAGGTGTCAAAAATACTGTCTGGCAGCCTTCAGTGAGGCTTTGTTCTAGATTCTGTTTGCATGTGCATTTAGTACATTACACACACACATGCATCAGAGTTGACTAAGTTATGTAGTTTTGTAAGTTCTCTCTCTCACAAACGACTCGTCAATTACTATTACAGTAAAAATATATTATCAAGAGTGAAAAAAGAAAAGAAAAATGGCAAAATTAATTTTATTCTCTAAATTAGCATCTTTTGAGACTTGATTAGTGATGGGAATATCTATATACATATAAACACATACACATTCACACAACAATATAAATTGTAAACATTCCCAGGAATAATATAGTTCAACACATTTCACCTCCTTCAAAACATTAGAAATAGCAAAAATATTTTTACTTGTGAAAACTCTCATCTGTTTCCTCCAAATGCAAGAGAATCTCTTCTGCACATTCTGCCGATGGGGCTCCAGTGATTTTTTCCTTCACACTCTGCAGCAACTGTTTAAGCATAGACTGTAACAGAGCTTCATCTTCACTTGTGAAGTGAGACATCTATGTAAAGCAAATATAAGAATTACAAGCTCTCATATTTTGGGGTTTTTTTCTCCTCCTCAAGATGCTAAGAAAAGTGGCAATTTAAGGGATTTATGCTTTTTTCCCCATTAACAACATGAGATTTTCTATCAAAAGACACAATCACAGACAAGAAATATTTGATAAAGCTTATCTTCAGACCAACTGGAAACAAAATAATCAAATCAGTTTTAATAAATCTCCTGTTATCTTAGTACAATATTCTTAAACAAGAAATTGCATTAAGAAAAGCCTGAATATTCCTGTTCGTAGTTGCCTGAGGACTTGCCCATCAAATAGGCACAAGACTACACCATAATTTAAGAAAAAGGGGGTTTTACAGATGTAATAACTGTATCTCGATGAGAAACCTCTACAAGTCTCTCAGCTGCTCCTCATCCACTATTACTACCCAGTTCTGATTTTTGGATCCCTCTCTACTCAGAGCTGCTGCCGTGCCCATGAACAAAGGTGCTGGCAGCTTTTGCAAGGGCCAGGTGGAATTACCAGAACTGTTTAATTTCCCTGTGGTGAACAACTGCAGTGACCTGATAGAGTCTTGTCAATTTAACCCTGCAGCTGCTGGGAAAAAATGGGAGGAGCAGCAGCAGTAAGAAACTAAAAACATCTGTCAAGTCCAGAAGACAGCGTCTTATCAGCTTAATTTTCAAGGGTTGCAAAAAAACCCAAATGCTCCATTTCTGTCTTGATTAATTAATTAACCTAAATTCATGGTTTAAACTTCTTTATATGCCAAGGAATACTTTCAACTCCCAGTGGCAGTTCTAGCTTGTATATTTCTAGTATATTTGAGGAAGAATGATTTAGAGACCTTTGACTTTTTTTAATTAAAAAAAAAAAAGTCCTTCAAAGACTCTCTAAGCATCTATGAATAAACAATATGCACACTGGGAAGAAACAATATAATAAACCACTTCTTGAGACTTAAACACTATTAACCAACAAAAAAATCAAAGCCACATAGCACCAGCTGGAGCAGTTACCCTTTATGAAAGGTAATGGTTCCTTGAGCTAGTGGTTCTCTGTGGTAAGTAGCACAGGTGCTGAACATTTTACTTTGATAATTCAACATTAACTCAATTATCTTACCAGAAATAGCATTAAAACAAAAAAAAAAAACCACAAAAAACCACAAATCCCTTGTATGAATCTTAACTCCCTGCAGTCCTCTTTCTTACAAATTAGTCTCAAGTTATTTAATCAAAGTCAATGCGTTTTTAGGTCTCTACAAACCACTCTCATAATTCTTATATTTTGACCTTAACATTGGTTACTAACCTAATCCCCTGCAAAAAACTTCACTTAGTATTTTGGTGTAACTAGGAATTTTTAAAAGTGTGAGTATCTGGATACTGGTTGACAACCAGTGCAAAGCCCCACTCAAATTATTCATAAAGACAAATCATGAGAATATTGCAGTCTCACTGCTTTGAAAAGTCTTACGCAACCACTAACAGAGACACTTAATCTTAAAATAAATTTGTAAAGGTTTGCGGTTTGTTGTGTTTGGTTTATTGGTGGTTGGGATTGGTTTTTTTCCCAGCAGACATATCCCCCACCCAGTTTCCGGGCAAAATGTCAATGATCGTTTTCTCCCTAAAAAACCTTACCCCACGATTCTATAAGAAGCCCAGTTTGTGCAGTCTTTCCAAGTTCAAACGCGTTTTCCCGGCGCTGTCCCACAACCGCACAGCCTGCCCCAGACCCACGGGATGGTTCAGAACGCGGCCTGCTGCAGCATTTACCCTTACGCAAGCCTTTGCTCCAGCAAGGTTTTGAACAACAACAAAAAAGCAGGAATTTTAGCAACCAAACAACGACAGCAGTTAACAGAAATACCAGCAGTGCGAGAAGTCCTACCCCCTCTCGATTTTCATCGTCATTCAACTGCGCATCGGTTTTTGGCAGTAACCAGATTTCTAATGACAACCCATGTAGGAAAGCACCTTGCCTTTTTAAAAGGCGTCGGGAGAAGAGGCTAAACCTGACCAGGTCCTCCTCTCA